ATTTTTAATTTGTTTTGTAAACAAAAAAAAAAAAAAGAGTTAATTCTGAATCTAGAACCCAACTTTCGTTGGTGAATTCCGTTTTTGTTTGTGTAAAGAGATCGTGTAATTTAAATGTAACATGATTTTCATCGTGTATAAAAAAAAAAAAAAAAAATTTTTTTCCAAAGTAATCTTACATCCAATTGAAAATTTGTGCAAAGTGGATTTTCTATCACCGAATCCGAATTTTAAGGTTACAATCTAAAACAAACGTATTGGATTTTGATTAAAAATGTATAGGCTCATGATTAAACTGCACCGAGTGAGACAAATACGACCAAGGCTATTTTAATGGTGTCGGACAATGGAAATCTCCATTATCATTGTAATCTGTCATAATACGTATTTTAAAATGTGAGAAAATCTGATACTGCGAAGAAAAAAAAAAAAAAAAAAAATTTTTTCTTTTTATTTACTTGGGGTTGAAATAATTTTTTTTTTTATTCACACGAATATTTTTTTTTTTTTCCTTGTGTACTTTAGCGATTTCAAGTTAAAACCTACTCCTTTTAAACATCACCAAAATAAAATAAAGTACAATCCATATAAATAAATGTCCTCTTTGAAAGTCTTTGCTTCAGTGGCTATGTTAACATTGGTTGGGGGGTACGGTCTATCAAAACTTTACGGTAAATATTACACACGAGGTCTCCTTGATCATGAAATTTCCGACGATGGTACAGAACAGGCATTAATTTCATCAACAAAATCATTGTCCTCGACGGCATATGCAAGTTCATCATCCATCTCTGAAAAAATCCAACTGCGTGGTAATTCCTCCATACCGAAAAAATATTGCATGATAATAGAAGATTTAATTATAGACATCACGACAAAACAACATCAGGCGATACACTTTAGAAAAAAATATCACAAGAATCTCAACGGGATACTAAAATCCATTGATGAGATGAGAGAAATAATTTGTGTCACGGAAGCCGAATATCTGAAAAAAATTCACAAGATATTAGATGAAATAGAGAAATATCATAAATATAAGGATGTTCATTTATCCCAGCACAAATCTCATATAAAAGAATTGGAAGAACAACTCATGCAAGAGGAAGCTTATCTGGATACCGAATTAAGAGTGCTGCAAGCTGATTTAGGCATGCTTATGTGGAAGTACGAAGAGTTGGATAATTACGCCTTAAAAGAATGGGAGTATTCCCAATTAGAGATTCAACAGCTACGAGCGAGATTAATGAAGGAAGCAACTAGATTCTCAAAGTTGAAAGAGAGTAAATATTATTACTAATTAATCGGTGTTGTTGTATTTCAATGAGCTACCTTACTTTGAGATATTAAAAGTAGATAAGTGGCGTATTCCCTGGCGTTTTACGAGTATATTCTTTTAATCTGCATAATTTAATTATATGTGCATATATAATAATTTATTCATTTTTCAAATAGCATTTCCAAAAGAACATTTTGTATTTATTTGCATAATTATTTAATGATAATTTTATTAATAATGGTGATAGATTTCATCTTTGGGTGTGTTTATTAATTTCTCAAGTTTAATGGTGTGACAGATATCTGATGTAGGGAAGACGACTAATTTGGAAGTTCTTTTAATAAATATGATTTTTTTTTCTTTATATAATAAAAAGAATTGTTTAACCCTGATAGGGAGGAACTTTAAAAAAAGAAATTTCCGTCCGACCACGTGACGGCCCATTAATCGGCTTACATAAACATTTTTGGATCATTACGTAAGCTTTTATTTTATAAGCATGACGTGATTGTTAAAATACCACGCTTGTGCGACGGCATGACGCGACTAAAAGCTTACGAATCTTGTCACTTTTGTCATTGTAAAATTTTAACAATATATTTACAGTATTTCTTAAAGTTTGTATTTAATGGATGTAAAAACACACACACCACACATATATGTATTAATTAAATATTCTGGTTAAGGTATCAAGTAAGCTTGTTATAAGCAATTAAAGAAATTTAAAAAACCTTTAATCTTTTATAATGTATACCATAGAATTAACATCCAAAATGGGTTAGGGAACGATGTTTATCTATTATGCCTCAAGTGATTGTAAACCAGGGGTTGCAGATATAATTGGATAGGGATGCAGTTAAGGGTCTTCAATTTGACGAATTACCTTTATTTCTTCGTATTTAATTGCATACAATCAAAATTTTTTATTTTTAAGCAATCCGGCGTTGAAGCTTGACGCCGTTAAAAAAAAAAAGATTTACTCAATCTGTCAATCGAACTTACGATGTTAAATACAATTTGGTAAAATACGATTGATAACCATTTTTAAATAAAAAAAAATAATATATATATATACATATATATTTGATATTAACTAATGATGCTTGTTTCATTGAATTGATTAACCAATTGCTGGTTTTGAATTTAACCGAGTTTTCCCATTTCGTTTTAGTTTTCGTCATATAACGACTTTTTTTTCAAAAATTTGTTTATCCGAGTTTTCGGAATTTCGGGTAACATCATTATCCAAGTCAAAAATATATTGAGCGTTTTACATCCACCTTGTGGATGCCAAGATTACGTGATTTCTTTCTTTCTATTTTTTTTTTTTTTTTTTTTTCAGAACAATAGTAATCATGAACAATTAAGACAAATTCAAAGAAGAACAATGGGTAAGTAATGATGGAATCCTGATTTTGTTCAATCATTCCATGGGGCCATATGGCTCGAATCTCAATGCACCCTCACCTCACCCTTGAGTCTACTTTGCCAAATTCAATCAAATGCTAACGATAGTTCCCTCCTCTCTTGCGCCCTTTCAAATTCACAAGGATGCTTGCTGGTTGTTATTTGAAGCCTGCATTCTTGCATCATGCAAAATCCGATGTCACACAGCCTGCGTAACGTAAAAGCCACATGTAGAAAGCAGGAACTTCCAACTGAAAAAAAGCTGGGCTCCGCGAAAACATTTCACATGCTCTCTCGTGATCTAAATTATAATTATCTTCTTGAAAGGAATATAAAAAAAAAAATGAAATAAATACGGAGCCGAATCCTCACTATTCGTAAAGTAATTTTTTTAAAAAAAAAAAGTTTTGTTATCGGTTATAAAGTTTTCCCCAGGAAAAAAATGCACGTTTGAAAAATTAGCATCGAACACGTGATTATCATGAATTTCACGAGATGTTAGACACAAGGTATTTCGAATACCAACATTAAAAAAAAATTATTTATTTTGTTTTTCTCTCCTTCCTACTTGATTGTTAGCGATGAATCAATACGATATAAAAACATCAGGATTTTTTTTTTTGAAAAAAAAAAGACAGCAGCAAACAAAATCAAATCAAATCGACGCGTTTTAAAGATTAGAAATCCTTTTTTTTTTTTTTTTTTAAAAAAAAAAAAGGTGCATTTATTTACAATATGCATGCAAAAAGTGCGAAAGTATAGTTTTTATATATTAATTGTTCATATGTAATTGGTCATAAATTATCTCGTGTCTAACTAATCTAATATTTGGATATTTTTGTACGTTCCGTAGTTTAACGAAAAAAAAAAGTCGTGAAAAAAAAATTATATTCGAAAAAGTATATAAAAAAGAAAACGCGATAAAAAAGAGCTCTAGTAATGAAATCGAAATCTTTCTGACTCGAGCCAGATGATACATTTAAAATTAAGCTATTTTAAAAACGCAGCTGAGATTTCAATACAAAAAAAAAAACAAAATAATAATAATTCAGTCTACGTAAAAAATGTTTGTTTTAGATAAGAAAAAGTTCTAATGAAAAAGTCTTCAATTGTTTGTTTTAATCGAAAATAAAATAATAAAACAAAAAAAAATGAATTACGATAATATGTATCATCGGTAAATAATAATCCATGGGGAATTTTTTCTTTTAAAAAAATCTATGGTGACACAACGCGGAGTTTAAAAACGCGGTGAAATCATAATCCAAACAATGCAATGTTAGGTTGAAAAATTACATACCACATGTTTCATTACTGTAATAAGAAAAAAATAAATCCCCCATGTCTTGTCGTTAATGAGTGAGAGATTGGTTGTGCTTTAACTAGATTAAAAAAAAAGTATCAAATAAAAAATAAGAATGGGAATCTTCCTAAATGAATTATTTCCCAAGTCCTTAATTAATCCCTCAAGAGAATTCAAAAAGACAAACCGTCGAAATCCTCATTCGAAGAATTCCTTCCTTACAAGAAAAAACCCGTTGTAAGAAAATCATTTTTTTTCTTCACCAGAGCTCAGAAAAAAAAAAATAATTTTCTCACTTCACATCGAAAATGAAGGTGATGATTTATTTATCGTTAAGATATATTTCGGTTTTTTGGTAGGGAAATGATGAAAAGCAAAATCATTCACACTTTTATAAAGTTTTTTTTTTTTACCTATTCGATTTTTTTTTTTTGAAGGGATCAAAGGGTAAAATTTCATTCTATAATTTATTTAATTTATTTTCACGAGAAATTCGGATAACATAAAAATCATACAAACCAAATCTCTTAACAAATTCCCGATCATCATTTGATTGATAAACCATATACATTTCACAAAAAGAAAATTCCTTAAACATAATTTCGGCATAAACCTTTTTTTACATGAAGTTTTCGGCAGAGTTTCCTTTTTCAAGAAGACTTTAATGAAGTGCTTTATTAGGATTGATTGTATGCTGCAAGAGATCGTGAAAGGATTTCTTTTTTGGAGATTGGTTGAACTCTTAACAAAGGTCTGCATGGTGTCAGTCATAATAAATTTGATTCATTCACTTCAAATCATGTGAAAATGCGAAATTTTTATTTGATAGACGCGGTATTTTATGATGTTACAAAAAGTACTAAACCTTAATCTATGGTTACAATAATTTATGAGAATGAATTCTATACAAATTTATTAAGTCTAACAAGATAGAATTTTCATACTGGGATGAATTCATAATTGAGGAGGAAAAAAAAAAAAAGGTTAAAAAATTCTATCCGTTTCCGTTTTTCACCACACTTTCAAATTTGAGAAATTTAATAGCCTGCTAGTGTATATTGCGAGGGGATGAAACATGGAAGGGGAACTTGGTGCGGAAGAAGTGCCGTTTGTCCTATGTTGCTCCGCCGCTTCAAATTCCGCTCGAATGTCGGACAGCTCATTGTCATTATGAAGTTCTTTCAGCCAATCTTCCAAAACACCGATCAATTCCGTCGCGTCCGGACGATTTGATGGGTTGGGATCCCAACACTTTTTCATCAATCTGACAAACGAAGGCGGCGTGCCTTTTGCTGCTTTGGGCCGTAGACTATTGCATATGTCAGAGGCAAGGGATTGGTCATGTGGTCGGTCAGCGAATGGCCGTCGTCCCGTGGAGACCCCCCACATGATCATGCCATACCCATAGATATCTGAGGCGCTAGTGAAAGCCGTACCAAGCAAGACTTCGGGTGGAACATAAGGTAAAACACCGTACAATTTCTTGCTATTAGAATCCTTATCTGGCGGATAATATTGACCTATATCACTAATGCAAGTGTACCCTTGGTGTCTCGCATCTAAAAATATATTTCCCGGATGGAAATTTCGATGCAATATGCTCTTGCTATGTAACGCAGCCAAACCTAACGCGAGGTCATAAAGTATCGCCAGCTTTTTTGGCCATGGTATCCTTGTTGATCTTGCTATCACGTATTCGTGAAAGCTTTCCGCATAATCCATCACAAGAATGTAGTTATTCGTCGTTGGATCTTTGGATATACCATAGCAAAACACGACGTGACCTTCAGGATTACAACGATGATGCGATGAGATCTAATAAAACGGACGTGGACCTCATAAATAAAAAAGGAGGTTCAGACAAAAAAAAAAAAGAAAATTTTTTCATACCTCATTTAGAAAATCTGTCGAGACGTTTTGTGAATTGTCAAGGATCTTTAACGCAACGATTCGAGGACCCGTCCTTATTCTCATTTGATCAGTTTCGTCCCAAGCCCATCGAGGTCCTTCTAACCATGTCGCGGAGTAGACATCACCATATCCACCGCTTGTCAAATACTCGACCTCAGTAAAATAATCATACGGTATCCATTCCAGGTAGTCGTGAGACGTTTGAGCATTTTTTTGCGATGTCCGGATAAAATCATCGATCTCTATATTACCGCTCGTCCAATGTGGGAATTGCTGTTCAAATCGATACGATTCACAATTTTGACACCAACTATATCCGGACCTTGGATAACCGCATTCTACACAATCCCAAAAAGTTCTATGACGCCATTCAAGCACCCCGTCAAGGTGTTCCGTTGAAATCAATTGAATCGTTGGTGATGAGATGTTGTCATCCGCGTAAGCCTCTGATGGCTTTTTGAGAACACCGCCCATCTTTCTCAAAACCTGTCCCAATGTTACAAATTTATTATACGTTTCGAATAAATTTAATTTCTTTGGAACTTTCATCAATATACGTGTGTTTTAAATAGCAATTATTTTTTCTTGTTATTAACTACTATGTCAATGAAGGCTATTTATTTATCTAGATTAGATTTTTGAACCTTATAAACAAAAACGGGAAAAAGTGATCCATGATAATTTGTTTAATGATAAATAACAAAAAAAAAAAAAGTCTAAATAAAAATTTCTTTTTATTAAATGTCAATTCTTACACTATGTGTTCCAAAAAATGCGATTCTCTTATAAATTCTATATTCTATATTCTATTAATCTCCTGGCGGGTTCTTAATTTTTTATTTTATTTTATTTTTTTTTTTTCAAATATTTTTTTCTAACGCAGAGTGGGAAAAAAACACCATTGAAAAAAATAATTTGATTTTAGCACACCGATTGTCGTACATTGTTGTACGATGACATAAATAAGCCGACTTCATTATTCATGAACTTAAAAAAAAGGTTAAATTAATTTCTGATCAACTTAATTACTCTTTATTTATAGATTGACTGATGTTCCTTAAAATAATACACAATGAATCACGATTTCCAAAAATAGATTGAAATAGATCAAATAATTAAATCAGCATGTGATTGATGTGATTTTGCAGTAAGATAATGGAGGATACCTTGTTTTAAAAAATTTTTTTATCGAGCTTATCAGAACATTATTGTCAATGATCTCTTTTTCCCCATAGATCCGATCGACGGAACATCCAACTTTTTGATAAGAGGGTATATGTTAAAATGTGAATGAACCAATGAAAAGTCGTGGTTGATCAAATATAGTGGATTCTGGGAAGGTTCCCCAGGATTGCGTTTCATTCACTCGCGGATATGTCGTTGATTGTTTCCAAATGGGTAAGTAATTACATAATGAAGCATCAAGATTAAACGAAGCTCACCTGAAAAAGATTTTTAAAAAGTCGTACGCGTACGGAATGAGAACAATAACGATCTGATTAATGCCATTTTGATTGAAATTGAAAGGTAGCCTTCGATGTAATAACAAGTTTGGGTTCTTTTTGAACGTTGAGCTCTTGAATCATTTTCATTTGAAATTTGCTGATTGTAGAAAACACGTAATCACTGCATTAGAATAATTTTGATACTGGACCGAAAAGAGACGAGGCGGAAGGGAGATTATGCCTAGAAGAAGTGATGTGAACAAAATGTTTTCTGATCTTATTGTAAATATCTTTTATAGACTCGAGATTCCGCAAAAAAAAAAAAAAAAGTGAGCTTTTTTTCAATCATTTGACTAAATTGAATTTGTTCTCTTTCAAATTTTGAAATTAAAAGTAAAAGTATGCACATAAAACAAGTTTTCTTTCGCAGAGCGCATCGCATCAGATCATTTTCAATGAACAAATTTTCGTTTATATTAATTTTTTTTTTTTTTTTTTTTCTTACCAATCATCAATAGGATTGTTATCTGACTCATTGTTCAAATAAACACAAAAGCAATAATTACATCTCGTAAATCGAGAATTGTGTTACCAAAATTTCTCGGATTATTAGTTTTATTAAATGTTGATTACGCGAGATTTTTGATTTAATATTTGTGCATAAGTGCATGACGGCTGCAGGTGGCAGAATCATATCGTTAAACAATCAAAGCGAAATTCTTTTCGTAAAGATATAAAGAAACGATTCTCTCGAAGGAAAGTTTTTCAATTTTTAAATCAAATCAATCAAAATTACAACCTTTTTTATAAAAAGAAAAAGAAAAAACAAAAACCAAAAGCTAAATCCCTTTACAAATTTTTACAAATTCAATACACTTCAAAACTGACAAAACGTCCTCACAAATTAAAAATTGTTGAAAATTATTTATTTAATCAATCGATTATAATACCTTAGTTATAATATGGATAATCAATCCTTATTTAAACAATTAAACACGAAAAAACAAATTGTATTAAATTCAAATCAACATTCATCTTCGATGAAATTCTTCATTCAGAACTTGACGGAAGTAAAAACACCTCAAATTAGCTTGTATAATCCTTTTTTATTTATAGTATCAATTTATAGGCTAGATTTTCGTTAAAGGATACTAGACCTAGCTTATCAATATTATGGATATGCTTGATCGGGTATTATCTTTTTATTTTTTTATTAAATATGTTTCAGAATGTTCGCGGTTATCGTTAAAAAGATAACAACTTTTGAAGCAAAATTGCTTCAAAAAGTTCGTTTCTTTGCGGTCCTCGTTGGAAGAAAACCCGCAGATATTGCTTCAAAAAGTTCGTTCTTTTCGGTCCGAGTGTAAATTGCTTCAAAAGAGTTCGGTTTCTTTGCGGTCCTCGTTAGAACATGACACCATTGGCGCAGATATTGCTTCAAAAAGTTCGGTCCTCGTTAGAAGATAACAACTCAAAATTTTCGGTTTCATTGCGGACCTCGTTAGAAGATAACAACCAATGGCGCAGATATTGCTTCAAAAAGTTCGGCCCTCGTTAGAAGATAACAACCATTGGTGCAGATATTGCTTCAAAAAGTTCGGTTTCTTTGCGGTCTTCGTTAGATGACACCATTGGAGCAAAATTGCCTCAAAAAGTTCGGTTTCTTTGCGGACCTCGTTAGAAGATAACAACCATTGGCATAGACATTGCTTCAAAAAGTTTGGGTTCCGGTTAGGAAATGACAACATTTTTACATACGAGATATGAAATAATCAGTTCGTTGTATAAACCTACTTTAATAATTTTCGCGCGCTTTAGAAAAATTTTACACATTGTATTTTATTTGAAATATTTGAGAATTAAAAATTTAAATAAAAGAAATTTTTATTCTTTTTATAATTACAAGATTTTGTATTGCTATTTATTATAATCATTTTTTTTTTTTTAAATTTATTTAAATTTTTTTTTTAAAAAGAAAAACGGAATCATTGAAAAGGAAATTCTGAGAACAAAAAAACGTGTCTTTCTTAATAGAAGTAAACGCCAAATGCCATGATGGTACATACGATTGTATCCTACATATAAAAAACAGGTTAGATCAACACAACACCTTTTCTTTATGTTATACAGCGCCGTTATATTTACATTCTTAAAGGTTTCATGTGCGACACTGTCAGTGTCTCTATCCCAAGCGCATGAACATTGAATCCTAGAAACACACCATAACTTTTCTTTTAATAAGGGTTCTTTTAGCATGTGCAGACATTTTAGATGAATCAATACCTTGTCCCGGCCGATCTGTTCTCCATGATGGATACGTTGACAATATACTTGTATCGATTCAAATCCATTTCTAATGAGATTTCCAAAAAAAAAAAAAAATTAATTAGCGATACGTAATTATTCCATCGGTTAATGGTAAATTCTACATGTGATAACAAAGCGGTTACCGATTACCTAATAATTTTTGTTTTATTTCCTGAGAAATTTCACGAGCCCAACCTGGGGCTTGATCTTTATCATACAAAGCATCGTTTAATCTTTGATGTAAAATATTTTGAATGATCTGTTTCGCTACAAGTGGTTTGAATCTGTAAAAAAAATTGGCATCGTTAATCATCGAGGGAATCAAGTTAAATTACGGTCAGGGATCAAAAAAAAAATTACTTTTGCTTGTAACTTGGACGAAGGGAAAAGTTGGAGTCGGTTGATTCGCGACGTTCGAGTTCCGTACCACCATTACTACTATTGACGGGGGGTGGTGGTAGATCCATGGAAGGTTTTAGGGAAAGTAATAAATCTTCGTCTTGTAAAATGTTTGCGGAATCCAATGTCAAGGTGGTGGTTGTTGATTCTACTTCCATGATTTTGAATTTTAATTTTTTTTAATTTTGATTTGATTTGATTTGATTTATTTTATTTATTTTTTTTAATGAAGAAAAAAAAATTATTTTCCAAATAATAACCCTTTAAAGTTTATTGTTTTATATATATCATTTTAATGTGTTACTTTGGCATTTTACGCGTTTATGGTTTCAGAAAATGCTGACAATCATGAAATCCCGCTAATCCGTCATGCTATTGTTGCAATGTTCATGCAAATTTATGTGATGTGATATGATTTCAATTTCTTACAAATCGAGGCTTTTTAATCGCAGGTTCTTTATCAAAAAAAAAATATATATATATATATACAATTAAAACAATGTCTTTCTTGACAATCAGCATTCTCTCCTATTTATTTTGTACTTTTGAACATTCCTTCTAATTTACGCGAGGAATCATCTGCTAATATATTCTAATAAATTTAGGATTCAATATATTACATTGTTGTCACATGGGCAAGTCTTGCAGGCCAATATGTATATATATGTAACATTTTAAGATGAATCACATGTCAAGTAACAAGTAAGAACATAGCAGATCATTTCCTTATTATAAGGTTGGTCAAAAACCGTTTTGTTGTTTCAAAAAAAAAAAAAAATCCGCAAGAAATTTTTGAAAAAAAAAAAATTCTTCCCGTAAAAGTTGTCCTAAAATCGAATTGGATTAATCTTAAATATTACAGTTAGTAAATAAACACTGCAATATGTCAATAAAAATAAGTTTTTTTTTTTTTTTTGAAAAAAAAAAAAAATAAAATTTACTTTCTCCGAAAAAAAATTTTTTTTTTTTTTTTATACTTTAATTAAAAAAAGATTTTCTACTACATAAATTTGCTGGATAATGAATGATTAATTAGGTCATAAAGTGGACATATAGGTACCTAGTTGTACAGTACAGCAAGCCAGGACTTCAGCCTCCTAAAAGTTCCACAAGTTGAGACCTGACATTTGAAGATCAACAAAAAAAAAATAAATAATGATCATACGAATATGCTTAATCAAGTTACTTGGTAGAATGAAGTAGGAACAATATTACGCATCTACCGCAATCGCGTTGCATATGAAAAGCTCGAGAGCAAACGTATTACAATCACGGAAAAATTCACAATAAACTTCGACGTAATTCGCATTCTCGTGAATGAATTTCATTGATACCATAAAACTGCTAAATGGCTCTAAACATTACCATGTAGCTTGCTTTCTGAGTTTCAACCAAAGAAGGGTTGATCCTAGAACCATGTTAAACCAAAATAAAAAAAATAATAATAAATGGCGCCCTGATTCTTAGTTATAACCAATTATTTCTCTTGTTATCACAAGTTTCTACTTTAAAGCGCATGAATACACCATCCACGGTCATTGTAAAAATTGAGTGGATCAAAGATATTCCATATCAATGAAGCCTTAAATATCCTGCTTCAATAAACCCAAACCTTCACGAAATGGGTAGGTTCGATGATCATTTTACGGATTTTTCTTTAGTAATCAAAAACACGTAATCTATCTTCGATCTGTAAATCCCAGACCAATTAGAAGCGTCATTTCTTTGTGTATGTCATCAATAAATAAAACCTTAATTCATAGAATTTCTTTGGTATAGAAAGTTACCAAAAATTAAATTTGATAAACGTTTTACAAAAAAAAAAAAAAAGCAAAAACAAATGTCGTGATTACCAACATTTGGAATTATGTCTTTACTTAACGCACGCAAATAATGTGTCAATGCTCGCTCGTTTAAATAGTAAACTTTAAAATACATTGGTTTAAAGTGTCGAACCTAAGTTTATCCGTAACAAATTAATTTTGTTGTGTAACGAAATTATTTATAAACATTATATAATCGTCTTTATTGTTTGTAAAATATTTTTAATGTGAAATTGTGAAAATTACATAATCGTATTATTGTATATCTAATAAAGAAAAAAACATTGAATGAAAAAAGCAAAAATAACCCAGATCTTTTTTTTTTACTACAAATGTCTAAATAAAGTAATGCTTGTATCATAAATTAATGAATTATATCATGAATTATTAAAAAACTGAACGAAGTCAAAAATCTAAGGGGAAAAAGAAAATAAAAAAAAAAAAAAAAAATGTTAATCAAAAAAGAAAGTATTTTTCTTTTTCTTTTCTTTTTAAGGGAAGAAAAAAATAAAATAAAATACATAATTACCTTATAAAATTTTCCGCTTCGTTTTCTATTATGTTTTCGTTTCTCAACATGAAATTTATCATTAAATTTATCATTTAATTTCTCACCAGATTTATCAGCAAATTTAAATTTCTGAATTGATTTAATAACTTTATTAACATTTTTCTTGATAGATGTATCTAAAAAAAAAAAATCTTCGTAAATAAAATAAATAAATAAATAATAATAATAATATTGAAAAAAACCTTAAAAAAAAATCCAAATAGATCTTTTAATTACCGTAAATTTTTTTTATGATTCCTTGAGGATTTATGATTATTACTTTTTTTTGATAAATTTGGGAATTTTTGAAACTCAATACATTAAAATATCTCGCGAGATCATTGTTTTTATCGGCCAACAATGGAAAATTGATATTAACCATATTATCAAGATCAAGGGAATTTCGCTCGAAATGCATTAAATGATTGTGAAGTATTAAAGAAGTAAGGCTTAAAAAAATAAAATTTTCGCGGTTTTAAAAAAAATATATTATTATTATTATAAATAATAAAAGAACTAATTTAAAAAGAAGTTTTATAAATCCTTACGTGAAAACATTGTCATTTGATACCGCTAATAAAACCACATCTAATTCTTTGAATAATTTCATATTCTTGGATATTGTAATGATCTAATTCAAGTAAAGAATCAAACAAAATGAATCGTCTTTTTTTTTACGCGTGAATTCACAATTACGATTCTTTAAAGACTCACCTCTTCGGGACAAACTTTAGGATTATCCTTTATATCGTAAAAGAACAAAACGATGTCTAAAAGACGCAATCACAAGTGATTAATCAACGATTCAAATTTATAAAAGCGTGTAAATGATAAATTTATATATGCATATGCATCCTTACATTTCCCTAAATAATTATCAAAGGTGAAATCGTGAAAAATTCCATTCTCAACATATACAATTTCAAATGAAGGCATTGGTCTACATAAGGTAGCATCTTTGGTATTCGAGAACATTTTTAATAATAATAATAATAATAAAAAGGATTGTTGAGAGAAAATGCAGACCAGACAAAAAAAGATCAAAAAAATTGTAATGTTGAAAGAAAAGAAGACATGATGTTTTATACTTTTAGTTGTTTTACCTCCTTGATATATAATTTTATTCTTTCGATTATTCATGTGAGTTTAATTTTTTCTTGCTTATGGAAAATATTTTTGATTAGTGATATCATTCAAATAAACTTTTACTTATTTTAGGTTAAAAATGACTCGGAAAAATTGAAATAAATTAACATCTATTGTCATTCAAAATAAGAATAAGTTACTATTACCTCCGGTCCAGTCCGTTCACAAAACAATTAATGAATTCATCAAAGGAAATTGAGCACTATCCATTGTTACATTTCAATTTCTTATTTTCAAAACATAAAATAACGTTTTTTCCTTGGCAAACTCGACATATTTATTGATGATCCAAATTGGGAACCAATTGATATAGGTTCGAAAATTAATTGAAATTATTTATATGACTATGACATAATAACTTTGAAAAGTGGATTTTATTTGGGAGATTTTAATTATCAATAGAAATTAAGGAATATGATGTAATGTAAACAAAGAACGCGTGCGAGGTCTTACATATTTTTAGAAAAAAAAGAATTTCCGTGCATAATAATAAATTTCTATATAAAGCATTCCCGATCCAACAAATTAAAAATAAGTTTATTATAATTGAAGGGGGTTTTTAAAAATTACATTCATGTAGAGAAAGAAATCGTAGAATTCTAATCCATAAAAAAATAATAGTTTCAAAATGAAAACCCGCGCATCAATGATATTTATGCAATATACACAATTATTTATCCAAACTGCGCCATCTCTACTATTTTTATGACCGTCTAAAAATAACTTTCTCAAATAAACCTTTCTAAAGATGATTAAAGTTAAAAAAAAAAAGATTTATATAGAAATTTATCACAATTCATGGGATGGGGGTATAGCATTTAATTAATTAATCCAAAAAAAAAAACTTTATTAAATTATAAAAAAAAATTCTAAGAAAGGGAAAATATCATAATTAAAACTGTGATCATTAATACATTAATAATGACTACAGCGATTACAAATACAAAACATAAAACAAATAAATATATAAATAGATTACCACTAACTACTCTTTTCGAATTAACTAGTTTTGAAAGTTCTAGTTAATAAACCTTTAAAATCATGAAATTGTCTTTCGCAGACATTATTACTTAATAAGAAAGATACGGTTTTAGCTTCCTGTTCTTGTTCATTGCTAACACGTTTTGGTAGTCTAGAATTTTGTATCATAAACCCTCTTATACATTTCAATACTAATTCACCCCTCTTGTAAAGAATATTTTCATCCAATGTCGGATCTGAGAATGGATCAATTTTGGATGGAAGTAATAAGAATGGTAATGACATACTTGCAATATCAAATCTATCGACGGTTCTTAATATGTTCCTTAATCCATCCATCACGCGAGATTTGTGTGTAAGCTCTGATTTTGTGATTGCTTAAAAATAAAGTAATGATATGAAGTTAGACCACGATCATGATCATTCTATAATATCATATCATATTCCGGATTACCTACATTCAAATTCAATTACTAAATGAAATACAACATGAACAAGAGGTAGATTCGAATGCTTTGTAATAAAAAAATCACCTGAAATAACAAACTATGATCTTTAATTATTTAAATAAACGATTATTAAATAAGTTTATATATATATATATATATGCGCTAACCTTCTTGCACTTCAGATCTACCAAAATCTCTTTCAATCGCCTCTAGTTGCGATTCAACATCTTTAAAGTGAAATTCTGTTGATTCTCTACACCTTAAAAAAAATGCTGATGTTTATGTTATTAAAAGTTAAATATTATTGTCAAATGTTTGCCAATACTTAAAATACTTTGGAAAAAAAAAAAAAAATGTAAATCATAAAGTACCTTTGTTGGCACTTTTACCCAATTTGTAGTTAGCCCAATCACCTGGCGTTAATATCAAAACAATGGCCGTCAAGTTTTGAGAATATAAATTCGCGGCCGTTTGAGCTCTATAAGCCATATCTTTTGCGGTATCATTAGATGATTTGAATAAATCATCCATGTCTGACACCAAGAGTCGAAGGTTGTGAGTTGATTTCACTTGATTACCAAGTGAAATCGTAAAGCTTTCCATCAATTGTGTATTATCAGCTAAATGCAAGTTGGGTTCATCTCTTGTAATAAATGAAAATAAAAATTAATATTCCAAAAAAAAAAAAAGATTACAACTTTAAACAATTTGCTCCTTCACTCACCCATTCACATCATCATCCATTACTTTTCTGCTTAACCAACCACTAAACCTTTTGACCGGTGTACTTGGTGCAGTTACCATTTGCTGTTTTTGATTAAAGAATGACATTGGTGACCAATTTTTCTTTTCTGGTTTAGTTAATATCGCCAATTTGGGTCTGCGCAAAGATTTGTTCCTTGATTTACCAATTGATGAAGGATTTTCTTTAAGTGGGGAACTTGCAAATGGAATAGACGTGCGTCTTGGAGGCAAACTCGTATTATTTGCTATTTGTGCGTCAACCCTTTCTAATTGTTCACACAACAAAGCAACGGCTTGTTCCTAACATTGTAAAAAAAAAAAAAATAACAAAAAAATAAAAATTTATGCTAAAAATACCAATCCTAAGTTAGTTGTTAAGTTAAAATCAAGATTTTACCATACTCCAATTAACCATCTCCAAGGCAACCTTGGCTTGATCATAATTGAATCCCATTTCTTGAATCTCGTTGATCATTTTCATGGAAGCAGGATTATCATCATGCTAAAACCCCCCAAAAAATAAAATAAAAAAAATAAAATGAAATAAAATAAAGTTAAATGTCATGACAAAATTCCTTTAACAAACAAATGATAATTTCCCTATACCACAATTACAATCCGAAATTTCACACATTAAAGTAGGTCATGATCTTATCGTCTCCATTACCACTAAAAGATGATGAAACTGGAGAAAACATGGGAGAAGGTGGCGAAGGCATTACGGGAGATAACACCTCAGATAATGAACTAACGCTACCATGATGACTTCTTGCGCCATGTCCTTTGTTGAATCTTAATATTTGTTTAGATAGATCTTTTCGGCTCTTTTTTAAAGAGGATATTACTTCAGAAACTATATCTTTGCCATCTAATCTAAAAGTCCAATTTGGATCTGATGCTGATTGATGTTCTGCAATCCAACGCTGATGTGCCTCATATAGTTTAACCACAAATTCACAATATTCATTTTTTTGCGTTCGCTTGATGTCCTCAAGCTCACTTGCTAATGTGGCTTGTTTATACTCTACATCCTAATAAAAAAAGGAAATGAGAAATAAGAAAGGATTTATACAAGAATAAAACAAAATGATCATTAATAATACCTCTCGATGTTTTTCGACCAGTTTATTTAAACCATTATTATAACTGAATACGATTTCATCTATCTCTTTATGATGCCTAATTAATCAAATCAGACTTTAATGTTAGATTGCGAACGAATTTTATATACAAATCCTTACAAGTGACTTACTTGTCTTGAATATGTTCCAACTCATTCTCGCGAGCTGACACAATTTCCATAATCGCTTGTTTATATTTCTCTTCCAACTGTAATAGTGTATCAAAGATGGAAGGGATCGGAGAAAGGACAAGAGTATTGTGCGCCTTTGGGAAATTATCCTAATGATAGATAGAATAAAGGATTTTTTTTTTAAAAAAAAAAGAATAGAATTATAATTAAAACTACTTTAATTTGATTTGGGCATACCTCTGCTGGGGAGTCATTGTATCTAACGGTGTGATTTTTATACTTTGATACAAGGTTTTTACGAAAATTTCTTGCTTCCAAATCACTTTCAACTAAACAAAGAAATCAAAAATCAAGTTTCCATCTTTTAAATATAAAACAGATCAAATCAATCTTAACTTACATTTCCTATTAATTTCAATATCTATACGTAAACTTTCCTTCATGAGAGACTCAATGACAGAAAGCAAAGAAAGTTCTAGATAGCAAGGGATCTTGTTATCATTCATAAACCTTCTAACAACGTCTAACAATAATTGATCTTTTTTCAAACAAATTGTTACTATGCATTTTTTATTACTGGGTGGAATCGCATATTTAAGATCTATCGAAATATCTTTAAGAATTTTAGTAGGAAACATTTTTTTTTTTTGTTTTTTGTTTTTTTTTTTTAAAAAAAAAAAAAAAACCCCCCCAACTAATTAAATTAATCAGAAAAGAAAAAAAGAGAAGAAAAAAAAATCAAAAATAAATAAATAAATAAAAAGGCGAGTTGAAAGAGAAAAATTACCATTTACTGGGAAAATAATTTCATGCTATTTATGGATTTAATTTTTGTGGAATCGTATTACCATACTTGCATCTTGTTTTGTTCATGTCACCAAAAAAGAATGAAAATTTCAAAAACTCGGACCAATTATAGAAATCAACAATTTGTTCGTTAAGTACCACGTGTTGTTCGAAATACTTTACGATTGGGAAGTATTTTTTATCGAAGCGCAAGTTCATTTTATACTATGCAAATTATTCTGCAGATGCAGTAGATCCTGATAAGGACGAAACTTTAATGGATTTAAAATATATGTATAAAAAGAAAATATATAGACTTGGATGTAATTCTAAATGTAACAATAAATTAATTAATCTTAATAATAAAAGAGAAGAAACAATTCCCTTTTCACCATCAAAAATTCTCGGACGTGTGATATTTGACCAATAATATGCCAAAACCTGAACCTAAAACCCTAACCCTGACCCTAATCCTAAACTTATTA